CTTTTTGCCCCCTTTCTGTAAAAATCAGCTTCGATTCCTTACCAGCTACGTAAGATATCAATTTTAATTAAATAACATATAGTTTCCACAACTTCCACTAAGATTAACCTAAAATGTAATTTAATTGTTTAAAAAATATGTCAAATGTTATAATCTCTTTCAAAAAGGGTGTGAAAATTTTACAAGAGTGGATTTGTTTTTCTTTCATTTTAGAGTTTTTCATGTTATTATTATTTGTTTATTTTGGATAGAAATGGAGATTCTTCCGACACCATGCTTCCTTTATCAGTATTTTTGTGAGATCACATATTGTTGAAAGGAAAACAAAATATATGAGTGTGAAAACCTCTAAACTGATTTTAAAAATCTTGAGAGAAAGTCTAAAAGAAAAACCTAAAAGGGACAACCAAGAGAACGTTTCGCCTATTCTTACTCATTTTTTATCATAAGCTTGTGATTTTGTTTTTGTCCCTTGTTTCGAACCACAGGCATTCTCCCAAAAAAAAAGAAGAGAAAGGAAAAGTCAATCAGGCAACTTACCCATTCAGTGATTTTGGCACTGGACGTTTCAAAAATGAGGTATTATCGAGTCGGATGAATTCAATAATAGATACCTGTTAACATTCTAGCCTTCCTTCTCCTTTCAAGGCCTAAGAATCCAGTATTTCTTGATTTGTAAAGTGGTTTGACTTCTATTTTTCTTTTTTCTATCTAAATAATAATATTTTAATTAAAAAAAAAATCAAATGAGTTAGTTGATTGTTGTTTTTTATTTTAACACGTTTGTTTGCATTGTTAATAGGTGTCCTTATTTGAGTTCTTTAGTCCCCCACCCATCTAGATGATAACGATTTATGGGTTTGATCATTTATTGGTGACACGGCCTACAAAGCATCACCAAATATTATGTGGCATTAAAGAATTTATGCCTGGATGACGTGCCATCTGGCTTTGACTTCTTAATTCTTAATATTTCATTATTTAAAACAAATTTAAAAATAACACAAAATTTAGAGTTTAAAAAAAAAAAAAAAAAAAAAAAAAGAGATAAATAATATTGAGAGTTTTTAGAAAATAGGGAAAATAAGTTTAAAAAGTGCACGTGCTATGTGGGTCTGTCTATCTGGCAGTGTCTTTTTATCTCCAACTCCGTTTTATTTTGTTTAATTATTTTGTGGGCTTTTTGGACTTTTCTCACTTTTATGGGGGAGTGTGTACAGCTATGCCCCTGCCTCCATATTTCCTTCACATAATTCCTTGTTCACTCTAATTAACAATTTATTAATTTTGGAGTGTTTTTAATTCCACATAAATCTTAATTTCTAAACTAATTTGTAGTTGCATTCTCATTTATACAACATATAAATTCATAAATAAAACACAAATACATACGTACTTATCAACAAATTTAAGATTAAATTATAAATTTAGTTTTTAATTTTTAATATTGATATCTATTAATATTTAACTTTTAAAATTATAAAAAATCTCTAAACTTTTTTAAAAAAAAATTAAAACCTACATTTATAAAATTTTAAATACAAGATCTGAATATAAAATTTATATTTATATTTAACAAATTATTTATTTTTAAAAATTTATAATTTTAGTCTCTAAACTCTAAATTTTTTGAATTTACTAGAATGTTTTAATGTTATTTAATAAATAAATTATTTTTTAAAAATTTTGAATTTTTAATAATCTGTTTATATATTTATCTTTAGACCCAAATAAAAATTTACCCAACTATTAAAAACTTCTAAATGTTCAAGACTAACAAATACATATCTCAAAAATAAAAAATTAAATTTGTAATTTAAACTTTCAATAACCTAACCCTTCTAACATTTTATAATTTATTAACTATCATCGTAGTAATTGTATTAATAACAAGATATAGGTTAGATGAACACGACTCTCTAGAATGGTATGCTATTATCCACTTTGAGTGAAAGCTATCATGACTTTATTTTAGATTTCTCAAGAGGCTTCATACCAATAGAGATAATATTTTTTGATTATAAACTCAAGACCATTCCCTAAATTAGCAGGCTTGGGACTCTCCTCCAACAGTAAAAACTCAAAATTACAACTTGAAAAGAAAATAGTAATGTATTAATGTTATAATCGACAAATTTCTACAACCTATCCCTTTACCCTATCTAAGTACATGCCATCTAAACCTAATATTGTAATATTGGAATTTGGACCAGACTGAATAAAACAATAATTCAAACAGCTACCCCCACTGTCTTCTTATTATTTTGCTAAAAGATTCTAACATAACCAAATATGAATCGAACACATTTTATAACACCAGAGTGTCAACTATTAGGAATTTTAACTATTTTCTCCGATTCGGCTTTCAGACCCCACCTCTCGGGCGAGCCAATCTTGATGGTGGTCATGTTGTCAGCATTCCACCAACAAAATTTCATTTCATAGGCCCTAATAATGCCATGACGCTCTAGGCTTGAATATTATATATAACCTAATCCTCTTTCTTAATGAAATCATTGTGACCATGTGTAATCAATACACAAGAGAACAAGCCACCGAAAATAAACCTTAAATTATAGCGCTAAAGTTTAATTTACAATAAGAGCCATTATGATTTAGAGGAGAGGTTGCCCCCTTCGTGTCAGACACAATAAAGTAGCGAGGACTGGAGCGTTTAATAGATTCAAAAGTAAGTATCATAATTAAGATGTCAAAACCAATCACGTTGGGCAGGGGGAAATGATCAATTAAAGATGAATATGAGAGAGCTATACACATACTTGGCAGCTGCATGCATGTAGGTCTGGAAGATGTATATAATGCAAGTTAGCATCAGAGAAAAGCCTGGTGATGAGGACCCCACAGGCTGATTGTCATTTGCCTCCACATTTAGTGCAATGAGCAATCTGCAAGCAAACTCTTACAATAGTCATGCTACAGATTGTATGTTGAAGCTTAAGAACAAGAAATGGTGAGTGAGGAGTGAGGGCTATAATAATAAGACATCGCCTAAAATGTCAACCTACGAAATCTTAGTGACTTAAAACTGTAAAGTTGTAACAACCTTAAAGTTTTACTTACTTAGAGTCACTACTAACGTCTATGCTCTTCTAAAATGTGAATATAACTTTTAAAAGAAAACATTATCTATAGGATAAATGTCGAAAACATTTAAAACATTTTCTAATTTTAGAAAATAGAGTCATAATCTTATGTGTTTAATACGAAATACTGAAAATTTACCGAAAATAAAAACAATGAAATACAAAACGATATATTCTAAACTCTTTCCTCTATTTCCTTTGCAATTGACATAATCCCCCTGAAAGTACATCTTTCTTCTGTCCATCTATTTCTGTTTAGGACAGAATGAATCTTTTCAATGAGGCATATGTAGATGGTCAAGGTTTCCTGTTAAGAGAATTCCCTGGGAATTACTCAATCATGGATAGAGAACAAACCCCATCTGATCAAAGATATTAGTTTTGCCACTGAATAGAATTAGTCACCTAAATGACCAGCAGCTTATCATTATCTACCATTCGGTAGGTAACATGTAAATGTCCTGCCATTGAGAGAAATAGGATTGACCCACATTATTCATAGGTATCAAAACCTTAAACAATGTTCATTTGGTGTAACAAATCCAGTCGTTGCAGTTCAAATCAAACCACAATCAAAGACCAAACCAGAGACTTGTTCAAGGTTGTAGCTGACAAGTCATCAACTCAGATTTCAAGTTACCAGATGGAATCAGTAACTAATTACAATCCAGTTCTTCAATGAAAAACCCAAAACGTTTTTCCAACTATATTCAGTCAGTTGGCACTATTCTAGACATTACCAGTATCAGGGTGTGCCAGCCAACCGCTAACATATCTCTTCAATCAATCATATGACTTCATTGTTTAGCTCATCGTCTTTTTTAGATAGAATACATTTTATAACAGCATACTTGAGTTGATGTACCAGAAAGGAGATGCCAAAAATATGCAACAAATGCTTGTCTTCTGAAAAAACTAATTATAATCTATATCTTTTATGGAAAGTCCAAAACGTTTTCTTTTACTAAATTCACATTCAGCTGGCAGTAATCTTGTCATTATCAGTATGAGGTTGTGCCAACCACTGACATGTTCTCTTCAATCAGTCATATGATTTCATTGTTTAGGTCATCGTCTTCTGTTGAGCTTTTTCTAATAGCATACTTGGTTTGCATATAATGCACATGGAAGGAGTTGCTAAAGATATGCAACAATGCTGGAATAATATGCAAAAAAAAAAAAAAAAAAAAAAAAAAAAAAAAAAAAAAAAAAAAAAAAAAAAAAAAAAAAAAAAAAAAAAAAAAAAAAAAAAAAAAAAAAAAAA